TGAAGACAGCTTTCCCATTCCAGCAAATCTCGATGGATCTCACCACTGACCTCCTGGTTTCCAGAGAATACAAATACAACTCTATTCTCATGGTTGTTGATCAGGGGCTGACAAAAGCTGCCCTGTTTGTTCCATGTCATAAAACAATTGACTCTGTCAGCATCACCTGGCTCTTCCATCAGTTCATTTATTCTCAGTTCAGGGTTCCCGAATCAGTGATTTCTGAATGAGGTCCACAGTTCACTTCTTCATTTACTAAAGCACTCTATAAGGCTATCGGAGTGACCCCTGAACTCTCCACTGGGTATCATCCCCAGACGAATGGAGAAAGTGAAAGGGTCAACCAAGAAGTGGAAGGGTACCTTCAGTTGTACTGCATGGAAGCACCAAACTCCTGGGCAGCCAAGCTCCCATCTGCTGAGTTCACTCATAACTCCCATATACACTCAGTCCATAAACAAACCCTGTTCTCACTCCTTCTAGGCTATGACCCATCCCCCTACCCTGAAGTACAGACAACTGCAGTTCCCTCAGTTGATGAAAGACTAGAATGGCTGGCATCAAATCAAGATGTCACTATCCTTGCACACAAAAAGGCACAGGACTTGATGTGTTTGCAATCCAAAGGGTCTTATGTGCCACCCAAGGTGGGAGATCAAGTTCTCCTGGATACCAGGCACCTTCAGATCAAGAACCAGTGTGATAAGATTGCACCCAGATGTCTCAGGCCATTCAGGGTGACTCAAGAGGTATCCCCTGTCACCTTCCAGTTGGAACTACCACCGACTTGGAAGGTACACCCTGTGTTCCATGCATCAAAAATATACCCTTATCAAGAAAATGATACATATGGAAGAGCACTGCCTGCACTGCCCCCAGAACTCATAGATGATGAGATTGAGTGTGAGGTCAAGTCAATAATCAATCACAAGATGGATGGGTGCAGAGGTAAACAAAAGTATTTGGTTAAATGGAAAGGATTCCCACATTTGTCCAACACCTGGGAACCAGAGGAGCATATAAAGGACCATGCTTCAGAGGCCCTCTCCCAGTACAAACTCACTCGCCATCTTCGAAATTAATGGACTCCCCTCACTTGGTAAACACAGAAAATGACTATACCAACCTCTCTGCAACAGAATCCCTTTATGACCCTGACAATGTCTTCATACCCCCCATCACTGTCTATGCCCCAACCTCACCTCCAACAACCACCTCCAGCTTTCCTGACTTGTACCCCTTGTCCCCAGTCTCGCAACCTCATGCGACATCTCCCCCTCTTGCCCACCCTCTCAGACTGTGTCCACACACAGGTCTCTCAGTCAGACAGGTCCCCATCCCCAAGGCCAGAGTCCCTCCAACAGGGGATGGTAACCAGCAGGGAAAGGGAAAGGGTAAAGTGCAAGCTGAGGATGACTCCAATCACCAAACAGCCAGAACCACACCCCCTGATGCTCCCAAACCTCCCAACTTTCACACTGCCTTCACCACCTACCCCGACAGCAGGCAGCACACAGCCCTTGACCTCCTTGCCTCAGCAGCCCTTGCCAGGGATGATGAGCAGTGACTACCAATCACAGCAAGTGACTACCTGGATGTTGTTGGGGTGCTTGACATCTTCCACGACAGGGACCACATTGATGGGTGTTCACCAGAACAGGTTAAATATTTTGGGCTGCTGTCTGAAATCTACAGAGTGACAGACATGATCAACTCCACTGTCTTGAAGATACACACCCGAAAGCTGTCTGGAACTGCACCCCTGTCTGAGGTCATCATGATCAACATGCTCGAGCAAGGCTCTTCAGAACTTTTAGAAGCCATCACAGGTGGTGCCTATCACCACCTTCTTCATCAACAGATCAGAGAGTTTCTGGTACCACCCACTTCTCATCTTCTTGATCGCATTCACCCAAAGCAAGAGGAACCATCAGCTTCTCATGGAGAAGAAGAAGAAAGGAAGGCAGAACAGGAAAAGATGGATCAGTGGAAGGTGCTGGAGCTGTCATATGTTGGCTCAGGAGACTTGTTTAAAGAGGTCAGTGCTTGCTTGGGAACTGGGACTCACAATTCCACCTGGGAGGTATTACTACTGGATGCATCATGGGTCAGACTCCACAAAAACTATCATAATGCCATCCACTCCACTGACCCTCTCCCTTCAGCTCCCTTTGTCCCTGTCCCTCTCGACCAGCTTCGCTTTTACCTCAGAGGACAGTCCCCTGTCCCTGCTGACCATGTCCTTCATCAACATGCTGTGAGTCAAAGTGAGGTTCAGTGGTGAAAACCAACCAAAACCAACACAAAAGACAATGAAAGCGAGTGGTGGTGTGCCTATGCAGTACCTAGATGGTAGAACCTGTTCTTTGGGAGGGTTTTTGCAAGCTACAACACTCAAAGATGAGTGCTGAGGGTTGGGGGTGCTCCTGATGAAGAGGGAGCAAGAATGTGATAGAGAGCGATAGGGTAGACTGCTGTCAGCCTACAGAAGGATGGATGGTGACTTAATTCAATGTCCTAAGCTGTACTGAGCTCAGGGAGGGCTTGGAGCGAAGTATATGGATGATAGATGATGATAAGTGAAGTAGATGATAGCTAGACCCTTAATAAAGTCTCAACTATCAAAGCTGATGAATGATTTACTGAGAGATGATAAATTGCGAGCAAGAGGGGCTCTCTGATGTCTTCTTCTTTTTTTTGCTACCTAAGTACAGTGACTTATATACAGTACAGGGGCATTGCCTATGGAAAACAAGGTGCAAACACTTGGTAAGTGATTGGTAACTGATGAGTAAGGAATGTAAGCGATGGGTAATTGTCTTGGAAAGCATTGGTAAGCATTGGTAAGGATAAGTAAGCCAAAAAGCGAAGAACCAGTAAGCAAAGTCAAAAGATTGGTAAGTATTGGCAATAGGTGAGTCAAAGACAGTCAGAATGTCACAGTATGAGTCAAGCAATGTCAGGAACTGGGAAAGTGCACTGGAATCACATTAGGGGGAGGCTGTGCATGTCACATCTTGAAGAGATCACTTCTAGGCCAAAGTGGGATGACAGAGAGGCAGCACTGATCTGATGCCGATATAGTACATCCAAAAGTGGACAGGGTGAGTCAGATGTCAACAGGGGTCAAGCTTTGGGGGTCTGTGGGGTGACAGGAGCATAGGGGATCGCAACTTTCCCCCCCAAACCATCCTCTCAGTGAAGCAAATAAAAACTTCATGAATGAGGCTCTGTTGGAAGAGAGGATGAAGGGGGAGCATCTTCTGCTGTATCTTGCAACAAGGAGGCAAGATGTGCATCATACTCATCATGGATGCAATCAGGGAGAGTGGAGAACAGTAGATTATACTGTAGCTGTCGCAATTTTGGAAGAATGATGGACGAGACTGGTATGAAGACATTGCAGGGGGCAGGGAGGAAGGATCCATATGCTTCTTGGACTGGAGAGACTGAAACGACCACATAAGACCTTTCCAAGCGAATGACAGACCTGAGGCGACCAAAGAACGTCCTCCTGGAGGTCATACTGACAAAAAGAACATGCTGTCCAAGCTGGATGGGCTGAGAGGGGGCAGATGAGGGTGGGATGTACCAGGACACTTCAGGATGGAAGCTGGTAGGAACTCCTGGTAGATATATGTGGCCATGGTCCCTAGCAAAGGGGACAAGTGAAATGACTGATGTGGAGGCAGCCATATCAGAAGAATTAGTGAAATGAGTGTCTTTTGGAGGGAGTGCTGTAGAAAGGTGTGGAGTGTGCAAATCCTTTCCAATCCTGGGAGGTAGGATCGCATGGCTGAGCACTACAAGCAAGTGTGGGAATGGTTTTTGTGTCTGCAGAATTGGTGGAGATACATTGAAAACCAGAATGCCGTACACAGGTGCTTAAGAATTTTATTGGCACTTAACCTGCCTCCTCCTTTTTCTTTGGCATTGACAACTTGTTCTTGTGTGAGGGATGACTGCTGACATTGCTGGCTGTCCTTCTTCGCATGAGGGCTATGGTCTTCACCTCCATTCATCAGCTACATCCATGTCCACCTCACCAAACACCTTTGGTGTGTGACAACACATGCTTCCAGTGTCATTACCTGGGACATTGGTCTTGCCACAATGGACATGGCTCCCACTCTACTCCAGCCCTCAAAGAACTGTCGTCTCCATCACCTCTGTCACCCATCACCTCTCGCATGTGCTCCTGTGTGTATACTACTCGCTGACCCCTTTCCTCCTGCCCACCCAACATGCCTGGCCCATCCTCAAGGGTCTGAGGACCTTAGAGGGGGGGTGATGTTATGCTTCCATCAGGGGTCTTTCCTTTTTCATCTCCTTGTGGTCACATGCATCACATGCCTTGTTGCATCACTTGTAGTTGTTGCCATCCTAGGGGCTTGCATGATAGAAGGACCTGTTGGGTCTCCCACTGTCATGGTATTTCCAATACCAATTGAGACCATGCTTCCCTTTTGATCTGGTATTCCACCACCCTCTCTGATGGATGACATGTTCCTTTCTTGCCTGGTGACTCATTTCTGACTCCTTTATGTTGCTTATATGCTGTACTGTAGCTCTGGTGTCTGGCTCCTCGCTGCACATTGATTGCGCAGCTGGTATAGCCTTTGTTCCCCCTTGATTCCTTCACCACTTGACACCATATGACTCCTCTTCATTTATTTATTTGACTGATTGTTCTGTTGAGTACTGTGGGTACACATTGCATTGTGACTGGTACAGTGCTTGTACTTAGGGGTATATAGTCCCATGTATTGTACCTTGTATCCTCAGTTTCTCAATAGCTTGCAACTCAGCTAACTTCCTTCTCCTTCATCCTTGTTCCCTCCTCTGTGTGACCACCTTAACAGATCACCAGAAGGACAGAACCTTTGACAGACCTCAGGGATAACTGAGCCATAGGGGTTATGACATGTTTGACCCATAGACTCCCCCTCATGTGCTTCATGCCTATTCCATTTGAAGAAGTCACTGTGCTCAGGCATAACACAATATTTGCTTGCCTAATGATTGTTTTCTACTGTGTAGCTCATTTAGGAGAATTCACTGTACCAGTGATCACACAATTTGAACCACAGAAGCACATTACCAGAGCTCATGTCAAGCACTTATGCAACCTCAGTGGACTACCCATAATGAAGTTCCACATTCCCTGGACAAAAATGTCACCAATAGGCAAAGACATGCAATGTGCTCCCCTTCAAGGAGCCATCTCAGACCCAATCAACACTCTCAAATGCCATCTACACCTCAATCCAGCAGAGGATTCTGCACATCTCTTCGCCTGGAAACACCCCATGTCTGGTCTCCACCCTCTTTCAAAAATGGAGGTACTCAGGCAAATAAATACCTTAACAACAGTGCACAATCTCCCAAACATCAGGGGCCACAGCCTGAGGATAGGAGGAACTGTTATGCCCGAGCGCGGTGACTTCTTCAAATGGAATAGGCACAAAGCGCGCGAGGTGGGAGACTACGGGCCGAACTTATCGTAACCCCTATGGCTGAGCCCTTATTGCGATAATCCGACAAAGGTCTTGTCTGCTGGCGAGTCCCTAAGGTTGTTCACACGGAGAGAAGACAAGGATTGAAGCAAAGGATATAGCTCAGTTGCAAGCTATCGAAAAACTGAGGATACAAGGTAAAGTACGTGGGCTTAAATACCCCTAAGTACAAGTACCCTACCAGTCGCGACAGACGCGTCGTGACGCATATCCACAGTAATCAACAAACATCCTTTGAAATAAATACAAGTCACTTGGTGTCATTGACGGGGTTGGCAGGGGGAAGAAGGCTATACCGACTGCACCATCAATGCGCAGTGAGGAGCCTGACACCGGAACTAAAGTACAGCATACAAGCAATATAAGCGAGTCAGAAGGAGTCATAAAGAGGGAACGGAACATCTCGTCAATCACGAGAGCGGTGAACGTCACGGATCGGATCACAAAGGGTGAGTCTCGACAGGCATTGGAAATACCTGGACAGTGGGTGATCCGATTTGGTTCCGCAGCATTCGTACCCCTAGGACGACCACGACGATCAACGATGTGACGAGGCACGTGACGCACGTGACTGCAAGAGTCCGAGAAAAGAAACAGGAGGGGCAAAAGCGTAACATCACCCCCCCGTTAAGGTCCTCAGACCCTTGAGGACGACGATGAGGTGGGTACGTTGTTAGGGCGGGCGGATAAGGGTCGGCGAGTAGTAAAAACGCGGGAGCGCGTTCGAGAGGCGACGGGCAACGGTGGCGATGGAGATGGCGGCTCTTCGAAGGCCGGAGTAAAGCGGGAGCCCTGTCCGTTGCGGCACGACCAATGTCCCAGGTAACGACACTGGTAGCACGCATGCTGATATAAGGGGTGTCCGGCGGGGACAGGGGACTGGCCTCCGAGGTAGAAGCGAAGTTGATCTGAAGGGACGGGGACAAAGGGAGCATCAGGGAGAGGGTCGGCGGCATGTACGGCATTGAAGTACTGCTTGTGCATCCCTGCCCACGACGCATCCTGCAGCAAAACCTCCCAAGAGGAGTTATGAGTCCCAGTACCTAACCGTGCACCGACCTCTTTAAACAGTTCACCGGAGTCGACAAACCCTAACTCTACGGCATGCCACTCCTTCTCCTTCTCCTGATCCGTTTTGTCTTCTTTCATTTCGGCTTTCTTGGGTAGCGCTTCTTTCGGAATGATCCGATCTAGGATGCGAGACGCCGGGGGAGCGAGGAACTCATTAAACTGTTGTTGACGTAAGTGGTGATAAGCTCCTCCCGTGATGGCTTCTGTAATTTCGGCCGAAGCCTTCTCTAGCATCCCGATCATGATTACCTCCAATAAAGGGGCTACCCCTGTAAGCTTTCTAGTACGGATTTTGGAGATTAGCCCATTCATTACGTCTGATGCTCGGTAGATTTCAGACAGCAACCCAAAATACTGATCTTGTTCTGATGAGCACCCGTCAACATGGTCCCCGTTGTTGAAGAGGTCAAGCGCCCTAACAACGTCCACGTATTCACTTGCTGGGACTGGTAGTCTTTGCTCGTCAGACCTGGCAGCGGCGGCGACAGAGGCGAGGACATCGAGGGCTGCCCTATCGCTTCGGTTCGTGTAGGTGGTAAAGGCGCTGCATACGTTGGGAGGCTCGGGAGCATCGGAGGGGGCGGTCGGGGTTGCTCCAGTATCGGGGTCATTGTCAACTCTCGCCTTACCCTTTCCCTTCCGGCTACTGTCCCCACTAGGGGGGACTCTGACCTTCTGGGCAGGGGCGCGTCGGACCGAGACTCCCTGGAGTGGGCGCGGCCTGCTAGCTCTGGCGGTAATGGACGATAGCGAACGGGGCTGGGAGATGGGCGAGGAATCCCGGGAGATATAAAAGCCGGTGGGGGAGGTCGGGGGAGAGGTTGGCGTATACGCGGCGATGGGGGGTATGAGCCCGTCGTTGTCGGCGTCACAAAAGGATTCTGATAAGGGGAGGTCGAAGTAGTCATTTTCCGTGTTAACCGATCGCGGGGAGTCCATTTAATTCTTGAGATGACAGGCGAGTTTGTACTGTTCGAGGGCTTCCTGCGCGTGGTCCTTTAAGTGTTCCTCGGGTTCCCACGTATTAGACGAATGGGGGAACCCTTTCCACTTTACCAGGTAGCGTCTCTTTCCTCTTCGTCCGTCAATCTTGTGATTAATCACTGACTCGACTTCCCACTCCACCTCATCATCCACCAGTTCGGGCAATGGTGCTGCGGGCACAGCCCCATACGTGTCATTTTCAATAAACGGGAAGATCCGGGATCCATGGAACACCGGATGAACCTTCCAAGTTTTAGGGAGATCCAATTGGAAGGCGACAGGTGACACGACTTGAGTCACCTCAAACGGTCCGAGACGTCGGGGTGCCACCTTATCGCACTGGTTTTTGATGCGCAGGTTTGCGGTATCCAGGAGTACGCGATCACCGACCTGGGGCGCAACATAAGACCCTTTTGAGCAGGATCTCATCATTTCCTGTGCTTTTTTGTGTGCGAGGGTAGCAACGTCTTGGCTGGCTGCGAGTCGTTCCAGCCTTTCATCAACCGATGGGACAGGGGATAGTCGGACCTCTGGATAAGGAGAGGGGTCGTATCCGAGGAGGAGGGAGAACAGAGACATTTGATGTACCGAGTGGATCCGAGAATTATGGGCAAACTCGGCAGAGGGCAACTTACTACTCCAGGAGTTCGGGAACTCCGAACAGTAGAGGCGCAAGTACCCTTCCACTTCTTGATTTACTCTCTCGCTCTCCCCATTAGTCTGCAGGTGGTAGCTTGTCGACAGCTTGGTTTTGATTCCGATAGCTTTGTAAAGTTCCTTTGTAAATGACGAGGCGAACTGAGGGCCTCGATCCGAGATTACCGATTCCGGCAACCCAAATCGGGCATAGATGAAACGGTGAAACAGCTTCGCCAGGCCTTCGGAATCAATGGTTTTGTGGCAAGGGACGAACAGGGCGGCCTTAGAGAGGCCCTGGTCAACCACCATAAGAACCGAATCGAACTTTTCCTCTCCCGAGACCGGGAGGTCCGTTATGAAATCCATCGAGATTTGCTGGAACGGGAGTACTGCACCAGTGGTCTTGTGGGGCGTGATCGGAGGTCTGGGGGGATGAGTCACGACCTTGCTTCCTTGACATACCGGGCATCCAGCAACGTAGGACTTTATGTCTTTGCCCATTCCTTCCCACCATACTTCTTTTCTCATTTTCGCCATCATAGCCTTCTGTCCTGGGTGACCGGAGGGTTCCAGGTCGTGATACGACCTCATACAATGGCGACGATTTTCTGGCGGGATGTAGAGCCTAGTTGTTCCGAATCGTTGCGTGCCGTCAGGGGCAACAGTCATGTTACTACTCCCTACTGGACCTTCTTTTGTAGTGTTTTTCTTTATTTCTTCATAGAGGTCGGCGGACACAGCGAACACTCCCCGTGCTCCTTTGACGGTTTCCTCATTTGGGCGAGCATTGGGGTTACTATTCTCCTTTGGCTGTTCCTCACATGGGCGAGAGTAAGGCTTGGTGTTCCGGCGAGAGTGTTCCGCGCGACCTGGTAGGCGTCCTACACGTATACATCGGTTAAGTTTTTGTTGTTTTATTAATTTGGTAAGGGAAAAAGTTGGGGAAACGAGTTGAATTGAGGTGTCCACCCCCGTCGAAAGCCAAAGGTCCAGTGGAAGGACCATGGCAACAGGAGGCGGTTCGGCGGACTCGTTTTTCCGAGAAAGAGTATTGGCAGGGACCTGTAGACGGCCCGCCTGCCAGGAGAAACGAATAGGATACGACTGCACAGTAGCAGCCCACCGGGCTTGATGTGGGGTGAGCTGTTGAGGCTCTCGGTAGTACTCCAAGTTCTTGTGATCTGTAAAGACCACAGTCGGTTCGACCGGGGAGAGCAGGTAGGGCCAGAAAGCTTTGAGGGCATGAATTACCGCCAACATTTCCAAATCGTAGACTTGGTAACGCTGTTCCGCTCCTACCAAGGATTGCGAAAGGTAGGAACAGGGGTGCCACTCGCCGTCAGTTCTGCGTTGGGCCAGTACCGCTCCGGTACCGAGTTTGGAGGCATCGGTGAACAAGGCAAACGGTTTTGTGAAGTCAGGGATGGAGAGGACCGGAGTCGAGCATAACAAAGCCTTAAGCTTTTCAAAGGCTTCATTTCGTTCCGGCGTCCAGGTATAGGAGACCCCCTTTTTAGTGAGGTCATGTAGGGGTCGTGCGATGCTGGAAAAGGAAGGGATAAACTTGCGGTAGAAGTTGCAGAATCCTAAAAACCAGCGAAGCCCCGTTAGGTTGTCTGGGGCTTCCCAGGTACTGATCGCATCGGTCTTCGTCGGTGAAGTCTCCATGCGACCTTTCCCTATCACCATTCCTAGGAATTCAATTTCTTCGGCTTCGAAAACGCATTTGCTGATCTTCAGCCAAAGTCCTTCTTTTTGGCAAATTGTTAAGAACTCTCGCACGCAAGTACGAAGTTCTTCGCGAGTTTTCCCGTGGATCACAACGTCGTCCATATACCCGACCTGTTTTCCACGTTGACTTTCGAAAGTCTTGTCCATATATCTCTGGAAGGAAGGCGGTGAGTTACACTGCCCAAAGAACATCACTGTAGGTTCGAAGAGTCCTCGGGGTGTGATGAATGCCCCCTTCCATTCGTCACCTTCTTTTACTTGTAGGTTTGTAAATCCCCATCGAATATCAAATTTGGCGTAATACTTGGATTCGACCAGCTCGTCGAACAGCGCTTGTGCATTCGGTAGCGGGTGTGCGTCCTGGATGGTGAAGGAGTTAAGGTATCGGTAATCCTGGATTAACCTTTTCTTTCCATCCTTCTTCGCTATGAAAAATACTGGCGCTGCTTGAGGCGAAGTTGAGGGTCGTATCTTTTTGCATTTCAAATTCTCCTCTAGGAATTCGTCAAGGACCTTTAGCTCGTCGGGGGACATAGGGTAAACCGCAGCCTTTTTGGGCTTGAAATCTTCCTTTAAACGGATTTCGTGGTCCAAACTGGGTCGATGGACCGGCAACGGTATGTCTTCCTCCGAAAATACCTGAGCAAAGTCATTGTATTCCATCGGGAGTTTTACTTCCTCTTTCGTCGAAGCCAGGGTGGCTTCCAACTCTGTAGACAAAGTAGTTTTGTTAATACTACTTGCCTTCGGTTCCTTTACTGAACCGTCCTTGTTAAACTTTATGGCATATCCTTCGTAATGCCAAGGTACCTGTCCATTGATGAAGAGGTCAGTTTCTTTATTAGGTACGTACCCATCGTCCCAACACGTAATCTTGTTGTCCTCCCAATTCATCCATGGCTTGAAGGTTCGGAGAAAAGGCATACCCAAAAGTATGTGCTCTTTTCCGACCAGTGGGCCTACGTAGCACTTGACGCGGACAACGCGATTCTTGATGATGATTCATATGGATACCTTCCTCGTGACCCATTCTACATCTTTCCCGGTAAAGGAAGTGGTTTTGAAGCGGGTCTTGACACGATACAAAGGAATCTTGAGTCGTTGAACGATTCGCTCCGAGATGAGCGAAACCTCTGCACCAGAGTCGATGCAGACCATTACTCCTCTCCATAGTCCGGCAACCATACCCTTCCTAAGGGGGATTCAACCCTCATCTTAGATTCATCATCTAGGGTAGTAGTACAGATTGCAGACAATATGGAAACGGGACCTGCGTTAGGAGCTTCGGCGGTCCCACTTAAAAATCCTTCCTGTCCAAGCCATGCACCGTTAATTCTTCGTCTGTAGCTGGACGGTCTCCGACATAGGCGGCTCTTGTTCCTCCCAGCAAGGCGACAATTCGCACTCCGGGGAGCGTAGGCTTGGTTTTCGAGGATTTACAGTCACGCTTGATGTGACCCTTAGCTCTGCATTCGAAGCAAGTTATTTCTGGATTTGATTGGCGTACGTTTCGCCTTCTTTTGTCAACGTCCATCACATCGGGATCTCAGGAATTTCCGCGAAAATGAATAAACTTTCGCTCATACCTGGACTCCTTTCCTTCGAGAATGTGCCTAGTGGCAATGGCTGTCCTCGCTTCTCCGGCGCACTGGATCCACTCGATGACCATGGATGGGGCGCGCCCTGAATTAAGGATCCAATCTCGATATTCCTTATTGAGTCCCTTTCCGAAGAATATCCCTGCTTCACGTGACTCCTCCTTTAACTGGGCCTTATTCACAAGTCCGGTAAATTCGGCAATATAAGCCTCGAGTTCTCGTTTTCCTTGAGCGATATCGGAGAGTCGTAGAATTGCCAAAGCGGTCTGATCACCAGATTCGAACATGGCTTTGAGACGCTTGACAAACCTCTGGAAAGTGTCGGTATACCAGATGGTTCCATCGAGAAGCTTGTTTTCATTTTGGTAATTTTCGGCAAACGTTACAGCAGCTCCCTTCGTCATATACGTAAGGGCGAACGAGATCTTGAGGGATTCCGTGTTATACACGTGCCTGTTGAGGTTTAGATACCCCTCGACTTGTGTTACCCAGGTCTGAAGCCCATTGTGGCTTCCATCGTATTCTCCGGGACGCCCGACATTAAACTCCCTACCTCCGTTGGGTGGGCGGACATCATACGAGTGATCACCGTCTTCGGCGGGAGCTTTACCCTTACTGGACCCACCAATGGGATCCTCTGGGGGAACCAGCTTTCCGAAGTTTCGGGAATACCACGCTCGTAGAGCCAAGTCCGTAGGCGTACCTGTTGGGAAGGGATCACTCGACTGTCCCAAACCAGCTATCTTGTGCCAGTCTGCGGCCAAAGAGTGCATCCGTTCGTCCAACTTCTCCTTCAGCTCCTCCTCAGTATATACCTTCGACGGCATTTCCGGAGCTGAATCTCCGTGTCCAATAGTCATTGAGGATGACATAACGGGTGACGTGCGAGCTTCTTGTTCTTCCTTGAGGACTGATCCGAAAGAAGTATCGGACTTCTGATCGTCTTCTTCTTCTGAACTAAGCGCAACTTCTGATTCCCTAAAACGGGATAAGTATGACAACCTAGGATTACTTGCTGTAGCCGACGGCCCAAGTCTTCCTAGCGGGATTGGCGGTAAAGGCGGGTTCCTACCAAGTCCTTGCGGTATGTGCGGTGGAACTGGTGGTCTCGACTTCTGCGGGTTTGACACTTTGACGGATAGTGACAACAAAGGCTGAGGGAGGATTTATTTCTCGAAAGAAACCTGTCAGCTTTTGAGTTATTTGTGCGCGAGTAGTTTTACACGTAGGGAACCACAAGCGCAAAGAAAGGGGAACTCTAGGGAGGCGATCTATTAAAGCCTAATGGCTGCCTGTAGAGTGGTGGATTTAGTTGAGAGTGGCGGGGTGGTTTGTTGAAGTTCAGTAACCAGGGATGAGTAGACTTTTGCAAAGAGGTCGACGAGTCCCGAAAGCTGCGTTGAGTTTTTCGATTTTGTTATGCCCGAGCGCAGTGACTTCTTCAAATGGAATAGGCACGAAGCGTGCGAGGTGGGAGACTACGGGCCGAACTTATCGTAACCCCTATGGCTGAGCCCTTATTGCGATAATCCGACAAAGGTCTTGTCTGCTGGCGAGTCCCTAAGGTTGTTCGCATGGAGAGAAGACAAGGATTGAAGCAAAGGATATAGCTCAGTTGCAAGCTATCGAAAAACTGAGGATACAAGGTAAAGTACGTGGGCTTAAATACCCCTAAGTACGAGTACCCTACCAGTCGCGACAGACGCGTCGTGACGCGTATCCGCAGTAATCAACAAACATCCTTTGAAATAAATACGAGTCACTTGGTGTCATTGACGGGGTTGGCAGGGGGAAGAAGGCTATACCGACTGCGCCATCAATGCGCAGTGAGGAGCCTGACACCGGAACTAAAGTACAGCATACGAGCAATATAAGCGAGTCAGAAGGAGTCATAAAGAGGGAACGGAACATCTTGTCAATCATGAGAGCGGTGAACGTCACGGATCGGATCACAAAGGGTGAGTCTCGACAGGCATTGGAAATACCTGGACAGCGGGTGATCCGATTTGGTTCCGCAGCATTCATACCCCTAGGACGACCATGATGATCAACGACACGACGAGGCACGTGACGCACGTGACTGCAAGAGTCCGAGAAAAGAAACAGGAGGGGCAAAAGCGTAACAGGAACCTTACACTACTTACTTCAAGGCATGCCATTTGACATAGTCAAAACAATCAGCAGGTGGGCAGGGGACTCCTTCACCCTATATCTATGCCAGCATGCAATGATACTAGCTCCATACCTCAATGACACCCCAGCTTTACTCAAACATTTCACAAGATACATGATGCTACCAGTCTGCTAACATGCAACAGTAAGTACCCATCTCCTTTTCACAGGGCTAAGAGCTTCACTGTATGTGTTGCTGGGCTCCTTCATCAAAGGGACACAGCTCACTCTTCACCCCAGATACATTTCCTCCTCCAGGCCAGAAAACCCTTCAGGTTTCCACCCAATTCACAGTTCCATTGTTAAGCTTGTCATCCCAGCATATAGATCTCACTTGGAACCCATGATGTCTCCATTTCCTTCTCTCATTGTATGTAGTTTCCCTCTGAGAAACAAAATGTTCAAAACACATGGATGTAGAATGTCTGAGCAGCCCATATTTATGCAAGCATAGACATTAGCAATATTTCTAGTCAGATTTTTCAGTGGCATCTTGTTTACTTAGAACTGCACTCCACTTTTTAATAATCACCTTGAAGTGTTGTGAAAGATCTGTGAGCCAGTCATATTTTTGGCACGCAATGATGAGTGTGATGGCCTGTACCACAATGGTATGACATTACTGAATGCACCTGTGGCATGGGCTAGGCATCTCTTGGGCATTGACTGTTACGCTTTCATCAAGGGCCCTTCCTTTTTTGACTTTTGATGGTCACATGCATCACATGCCTCATCATGTCCCTAATAACCATCGCCATCCTAGGGGCTTGAATGCTCCAGGGAACGTTCGGATCTCCCATTGTCATGGTATTTCCAATACCTGTGGAGACTGCATTGCCACTGTGATCTGGTATTCCACTGCCCTCTCTGATGGACAACTTGTTCCATTCTTGCTCTGATGACTCATTTATATTGCACTTATGTTGTACTATAGCTCTGGTGTCAGGCTCCTCACTGCACATTGATTGTGCCAGCCAGTATAGTCTTCGTTGTCTCCCTACCCCCATCAAATGACACCATATGACTCCCCTTTCATATTTATTTGACTGATTGTGTTGTTGATTACTGCAGATATGTGTTGTGATGCGCCACATCACTGACTGGTACAGTACTCATACTTAGGGTATAGTAGACCCACATACTTTACCTTGTATCCTCAGTTTTTCAATAGCTTGCAACTCAGCTAACTTCCTTCTCATTGAACCTTGTTCTTTCTCTCCATGTGAACAACCTTAGGGACTCACCAGCAGAACAGAACCTCCATCAGATCTTCAAGATAACTGAGCCATAGGGGTTATGACAAGTTTGGCCCATGGACTCCCCCTTGCATGCTTCGTGCCTATTCCATTTGAAGAAGTCACCATGCTTGGGCATAACAAAATCGAAAAACTCTGTGCAGCTTTCAGGACTCATTGACCTCTTCGCAAAAGTCTACTCATCCCTGGTTACTGAACTTCAACAAACCAACTCTGTCATCAAAGAAGGCTTGTTGGTCTCCCTCAGTGCAAAGACTAGCTTGCTCTTCTCTTGCTCCTCAACCCATTTAACTAACAATAACAAAATTGAGAAGCACCCCTCTACTCTCAATCAAATCCACTGCTCTACAGGCAGCCATTAGGCTTTAATAGATTGCCTCCCTAGAGCCAGTGCTCATGCCTCCCTACACGTAAAGTCACTCGTGCACCTTATCCCTATGCTGACAGGTTTCTTTTGGGAAATAAATCCTCCCTCAGCCTTTGTTATCACTTCTCATTCAAAGTGTCTAACCCTCAGAAATCGAGACTGCCAGTCCTGCCTAGACCAAATCCATTAGGGCTTGGAAGGAATCCTCCTCTACTGCCCATTCCACTAGGAAGACTAGGCCCCTCGGTTACTGCCACCAATCCTTGGTTATCTTATCTATCCTGGTTTAGGGACTCAGAAGTCGCACTTAGTTCAGAAGAAGATGATCAGAAGTCGGAAACTTCTTTCAGATCAGTCCTCAAGGAAGAACAAGAAGCATGCAAATCACCTGTTATGTCCATGACACTCGGTCACAGAGAGTCTGCTCCTGAGATGCCTACAAGGACCATCTTGGAAGAGGAGCTGAGACAGAGGTTGGAAGAACAATGGCTCGCTATGGCAGAAGAGCTTCGCAAGGTGATGCATGCCCAGAGTAGCGACCCCTTTCCAACAGGAATGCCTACAGACTCAGCATTACGCGAATGGTATGCCAGGAACTTCAGAAAGGTAATTCCCCCAGAGGTCCCCTTAGCAGGGTCCAGTAAGGGTAAGGCCCCAGCCAATCCTGATGACACGTACAATTGCTGCCCACCCAATGGAGGAAGGGAGTTTAATGTTGGGTGTCCCAGAGAATACAATGGAAGCCACAATAGGCTCCAGACCTGGGTTACGCAGGTTGAAGGTTACTTGAACCTGAACAAGCACATCTATAACATGGAGTCGCTCAAGATTTCAGTTTGCACTCACCTATATGATGAAAGGCACAGTGGTTTTGTTTGCTGAAAACTACCAAAATGAAAATAAGCTTCTCGACAGTACCATATATTACACCGACACCTTCCAGAGGTTTGTGGAACATCTTAAAGCTACTTTCGAGTCTGGAGATCAAACTGCCCTTGCCATACTTTGCCTTTCAGACATCACCCAAGGCAAATGTGAACTTGAGGCATACATTGCCAAGTTTATGGGGCTTATTAACAAGGCTCAATTAAAGGAAGAATCATGTGAAGCAGGGATCTTCTTCAGAAAAGGATTGACCAAGGAGTATAGAGATTGGGTTCTCAATTCTGGACATGCCCCTTCCACCATCATCGAGTGGATACAGTGTGCAGGAGAAGCTCGAACCACAATCACTACCAAACATATCCTAGAAGGGAAGGAATCTCAGTATGAATGGAAATTCATTCATTACTGCAGAGGTTCCCGAGATCCTGATGCGATGGATGTCGACAAATGTAAATGGAATGTTAGACACTCTGGTTTGGAAATTAAGTGCTTCAATTGTGGAGCTGAAGGTCACTACAAACATGACTGCAAATCCAAAGTCAAGCAACTCTCAGGGATCTGCATAGTCCTCTCAGAGGACAGAATGAAGACCACCTATGTCAGAGATTGTGAAGCAACAGTGGAAGAAAGAAGAACCTTTGGGTTGGGTTTTTAAGGAGGACTGGCGAAACTCCTGCTATAGTCAGTCCTGTTGCTGTGTTGTCTGCTAAATGTACTTCTATAGATGATGAGTCAAATATGTGAATTCACTCACCTCTCAGAATGGTCATATTACTGGACTACAAAGCAGGAATTTTAGCCTGTATTGACTCAGGTGCAGAGGTATCCCTCATCTCCAAATGAATGGTACAGAAACTGGGAATTCCAACATACTGCATCAAAAGCAAGTTCAAGACCACTTCATTTACTGGAAAGGATGTCAAATGGGTTACCAGAAAAGTGACTCTGAAGATGGATATCAAAGGTCGCATTGTTTGGGTCAAATGCTATGTCAGACCACTCGTAGGAAAGGAGCACATCCTCCTCGGAATGCCATTCCTCAAGGAATACAAACCCCATATGAATTGGGAAACCTGGCAAGATTATGTGCTGGGACAATGGGTACAAGTACCCTGAAGGATCCTGCCTATCACATCAAAGAGGAGGTGCCTTCAGATACAGACAGTAAGATGGAATCCCCTGACTTGCACTCAGGAGTGGTAAAACCAGACACAGGTGAAACCCCCAGTGGTTGTTAATAAAACTACTCTATCCACAGAACTGGAAGCTGCCTTGGCAATGGGAAAAGGGGAAGTCAAGCTTCCTGGCATTTACCAAGATTTTGCCAAGGTGTTTGCAGAAGACGATATCCCACTCCCAGCTCATCAACCCAGGCTGGATCATGAAATATGGCTTCATGATGACTTCAAATCAAAAAAAGCAGTGGTATACCCTATGTCTCCTGATGAACTTAAAGTTTTAGATGAGTTCCTGGAAGAAAATCTAAAATGCAAAAAGATCCAACCTTCAACCTCACCACAAGCAGCACTGGTGTTCTTTGTCATGAAGAAGGATGGTAAAAAGCGGTTGATTCAAGATTACTGCTACCTCAACTCCTTTACCATTCTGGACACACATCCTTTACTGAACACACAAAGCCTCTTCGACGAATTGGTCAAATCCAAATACTATGCCAAGTTCAATATTCATTGGGGATTTACTAATCTCAGGGTCAGGGAAGGGGATGAATGGAAAGGAGCCTTCATTACACCAAGAGGGCTCTTCGAACCAATGGTAATGTTTTTTGGGCAGTGTAACTCACCCCCATCCTTCCAGAGATATATGGATAAAACCTTTGAATCTCAGCATGGAAAGCAGGTAGGTTACATGGATGACATTGCCATCCATGCCAAGACAAAGGAAGAACTCCGGACTCATGTCTGCGAGTTTCTGGAAATTTGTGCCAAGGAAGGCCTTTTCCTGAAGATCAGCAAGTGTGTCTTCAAGGCCAAAGAAATAGAATTCCTTGGAATGATTATAGGAAAAGGGTGTATGGAGACTTCACCGACAAAGACCGATGCCATTAGTACTTGGGAAGCCCCCAACAACTTAACAGGGCTTTGCCAGTTCCTTGGGTTCTGCAACTTCTACCACAAATTTATCCCTTCCTTCTCTAGTGTCATGCAGCCGCTTCATGATTTAACAAAGAAAGGAGTGTCCTATCAATGGACTCCAGAATGTGATGCTGTGTTTGAAAAATTAAAATCTTTGTTATGCTCCTCCCCAGTCCTCACTATCCCTGACTTCTCAAAGCTGTTCACCCTCTTCACTGACACTTCAAAGCTCAGAACTGGTGCAGTACTTGCCCAGAAAGGAGCTGACAATGAATGGCACCTGTGTTCCTACCTCTCTCAGTCGCTGGTCGGGGCTGAACAGTGCTATCGGTTTATGACCTGGAAATGCTGGCAGTCATTTGTGCCCTCAAAGCCTTCTGACCCTACCTCCTCTCCCCTGTCGAACCTACTGTGGTCTTTACTGACCACAAGAACTTGGAGTATTACCATGAGCCCCAACAGCTCACTCCTCAGCAGGCCCGATGGG